TAAGTTGATAATCGATTGATTTTATATCTACATGTATATGATTTTTGGCGGGTAAAAAATATTCAATGATTTCTTTTCTTTCTTTTCAGATGAAATTTCCATCGCCTGCAATCCAGACAACCTTGGTATTTTGTACGTCAGTAACCCTGACCCAGATCAACTGATTTACGTTGTATCATTTTCCGAATTGACAAAACAAAAAATGCAATTCTGAGTTCCTGGAAGGTAGACGTTTTGTTGCCGTCGGCGGATGTAGTTTGGTAAGCTGTTTAACCCATTACCCTGCTGAATTATTAAAATAGACTCATCCAGCGTCCATTCTGGAACAGTCCATATCAATTGCGGGGATATCAAGAGATGAGTTCGATTTCAAATTCTATTCGTTTATTCATTGAAATCACATTTCATATGAATATAAACAGCTAACAAAACAACAATATCTTCACCAAACATAGGTAATAAGATATTACGTGAACAATTACAAGATTGATACAATTTCAATACTTAATGAGTTACGCTATATGCCATTGTTGTTATAACTGCCTGTAAAGAAGAAAATAACGAAATGAGAGAATGATGTCAAAATGTGACGTTTGTCTGGAAAATGTATAGAGTGCCTAAAATAATGCAAGAGAAGTGCGGGTGGATTAGGGTCACCTAATTTCTTTCACCTCCAGTTAAGCTGAAAACTCCTTATGACATTGTGTCTGTGAGATGCGATTTATTGTGCAAGTGTATGTTGAACAACACTTTGCAGATCCGAATTTTAATGCTTCCCGGACAAAATATAATTTAATTGTCCGTCCGTATGAGGTTAACCTTAACCGACATGTTGGATATATCCTAAGTTCTAAAAATACCATTTGCTTTATAATACATGATTTGGCAAAATACATAAATATGGCTTTCACCTCCCTTCCCTCCCCCCACCCGCGCCCCAAATTATTTCCCTTTATCACATTCTGGTATGACAAACCTATTAAGGTTAGTCGGATCTGTCTTAAGTTTCTCCTATTGACCGATATCTTCCATATTTTTTATGAAAATCAATAGATCACTGAGGTCAAGGTCACTGGTGCTAAAATATATATTTTACTCTATTTCCTTTACAGACTTTTTATTCACTTACACGTCCTGTAGGGACATATAGCTTTGGGTGAAGTTTATGGTCACCGAGTTCAAGGTCACCGATGCTTGTAATATTTTTTTACAATATTGCTTCTATAGCATTTATTTATTGACTCGTGTCTCTTATATACTCGGTTCCAAAAGAAAGTGTTCACTTTTAAATATTAAATATTTAGAAAATTAGCAGACGTTTCTTTTGCAAATTTGGCATTGTTAGTCCTAAGTACACAATACATCAATCCAATGTAAAACCTATCCGTGCTGGCACGGAATTTTCGCTTTATATGGCAATGCATAATATAGCATAATTTGCACGTGCAGTCCGAGGCGAAGGTACATGTCATAGGAACTGTGTATAGAAATAATCCTTATACCCACTACATAGGGAAAAAACACATTTGATTTCACAGCGCTTGCCACTGAACATGCCTAGACTGAATCAAAATCAGGGAATTCAAGCATTAACGATGCTTGCTCGTGGCGACAACGTCTCCAACGTCAGTAGAGCGTTCGGTTGTCACAGAAACACAATTTTTCGGTTGCGCCAGCGTTTCCAGCAAACAGACGGGATAGCAGATCGCCCTAGACCCGGTAGACCGAGGGTTACAAACCCTTGAACGGACAGGTTCATTACGTTGACGCACCCTCGACGTCGTTTTCAAACGGCGACAAGTTCTGCAAGGCAGTGTGGTATCAGGAAACAGACAGTGTTGCGCCGCCTCAGGCAAGCCCGGCAACCAATTCGGCCGAGGAGGCCCTGTGTGGGACAAGTGCTTACAGCACGTCATCGAGCTGCCCGTTTGCAGTGGGCACAACGTCATTTCCGTTGGGGGTGACCTAGTACATTCTCGAGACAAAATTGTATCCTAATGACACCGGAATTTAAAGTTTATGTTATACTATGTTGGTTTTGTCATGACACGGCTCATTTCATGAATGTCTTGGAGGTCTGAAACTGTTCAAGGCTAACATCTCTTTTTGTTTAATCCTACATCATCCAGACTCTTGTGTAATGTTAAGCGGTGTGTTGTTCTACTGACAGTCCTTGTTAATGAATGTATGCTTATACAAATCAAAAACTTATAAACTTTACAAGTCGTCAACAAATTGAATCAATTTTTATTCACAAAGTAAGGATATCGTGTTTTCCTTTGGTGTAAGTTACAATTTTTTTTCTTTTTCAGAATTTTCCAATCACCATTTCATTCAATAGCAATGATCTTTCATCGGTCATTGGAGGCGCTTATTTCAAGGTTTATAACGTCACGTGCTCGGATAAGGCTTCCGTAGCACGTGGTAATGTCTTCCCAGACAGATATAACACACCGGGAAGCCACGGTACTGATCAATGTAGATATTCATTCTTTGTTACCATGGTGATGTTGGCAATAATGTTGATGAACCAACTTATTTAAACAGGAAACAGACGAACCGGAAATTCTCTCACACGGCGCATATGTAAAAAAATCATCTTTTGAATTAATAGCTCATATGCAATATTTTGAATAAAGACAAATGTATAAGACATTCGTTGTAATTTGAACAGTTTGATTTATAAATGTGCGTTTTTGTACACTTGTACCTATACAAAATTTTGGGGAGTTACAATTGAATTTGATAGTGCTTTATTCATGTTATCAATACTTGATGACACTAGTTAGATAAGCTTTCTATCTAAATACACGTATTAAAATATCGCGAGCAATATACATGTCTTTTTTATTCATTCCTTGAAGGTATTTTTAAAAGAACAAAAAATGTACTGTTTACTCAGTGTTATGTTTACAAATAAAGAAATTTGTAAGAATATTATGAATGTACTTGTATTACATTGAGATAGATTTTGCTCGACAAGTATCGTAAGAGCCCGCGAGATGTTCCGAGTGTGATGTTTTCATCGTGTTAAGGATCAAGACAATGACTATATATAATCTTTATTGTATATCTTCAACCGTAATGAATTGTAATGTAATTTAGTCAGCAACGTCATTCCGTCTGTACAACATGTATTCTTTCCGCTGTTGGTTCGAATTCCTACTAGGTCTTTGGATTCATCCATATGAGGAAGCTATCCAGGTAGCTTTTGAAACGTAGGTGGTTCTTTTTAACAGAGACCTGAAATGATACACGGATTGACAGCCAAAGTCTTCCTCCACCAGTAAAACTGTAAAGTCGCCATATGACTTATACTGTGTTGGCGCGAGGTAAAACACAATAGAAATTTTCATTGGTATAGCAAAGAAAACTATGTACCGATATTTAAAAATAAAATGATCAAGAGCTACATTTATGATATATGTGATGTATTTGACTTTCATTTACCTATAGCGTTCTATCCGCAAAAATATTTGAGACATGAATTCATCTGTATCAACTTCCGCTTGTGACCAATTTGTCGTAGACGTTTTTGGAATACAAGGTAATTATAATGGAGAACGTGCATGATTATCATTGGTATATGAGCCACGTCACGACAACACCAACAGAATGGGTTTGCGACCGGCATTGATCCAGACCAGCCTGCGCATACGCGCAGTCTGATCAGGATCAATGCTGTTCGCTATCAGTTTCTCTACTTGTTATAGGGTTTGTAAGCGAACAGCATGGATCCTGATCAGACTGCACGGATGCGCAGGCTGGTCTGGATCCATGCTGTTCGCAAACGCACTATGTTGGTTTTGTCATGACGCGACTCATCAATAATAGAGGCTAAAGTTTATTGCGATTTAGACTGCCTTTATATGAGAAAAAATGCTTTTACAAATGGCTTATTGACTGTATCATATTTAGCAAAAGTTGATCAGTCATCTATATAATGACAGTGATCCATTTGTATGAATTGTATGAATTATAGCTTCATCAAAGTTTTTTAAATGTCGTTCATGAAAACTTAACATTCAGAAATTAATACTTATCGTAAATCGGAACAAGGTGGGGGCTGAAAAAATACAACTTTTGCCGAGCATAAAATGTAATTAGTCTAAATATTCCAAAATATATATAAAAATAATAAGGTCGCTAATCCATATAAAGTAGTCGTAATACAACCTACAATTATGGATATATATATAAAAAGTAGAAGAAGGACGTTTATTTATCACCTAAACTATAAGTATCTGGTAATTTTACAGCAAAACTTGATATTTTTATCAGACATTTAGAATTCTTTTTTCCATGTTTAAATACACTTCATTTTTGTGCTATTTAGTATCAAAATTTACATGCATTACCATTAAACCAGCAATTGAAAGAAGTCCTGTTATAGTATACCTCCTTTGATGTGTATCTTCACAATCCGCAGTCGATTGTTTATGTTTTACCGCATAAACTTGGAAAATTGCACCTAATATGTACATTGAAAAAGGGAAAAAGCAGCATTGTACCCATACAGTGAACAAAATCTTTGTTTCGCTCACTAGCGGAAGTACAATAATGTAGACTTAGATACAGTTTGATGCAAAAATATTCCACGAGGAACCGTATGGGAATGGTTTTAAAATCATGCAACGACCGCATTTATCGCACATTGACCAGTGGTTGAACAGGTACAAATAAGCATTTTAATCCGATAAATAAATGCAATAAAATAGTACGTGTGCATCTTGTTATATTTTATCAAGGGGCCTAGATTTTAACTGAACTACCTCGGTTAAAATACAGGCCTATAAATATGAGTTTAAGAATGATATTTGTTTATCTTAAAAGGCGAATAGTTTTATAAACAATGTTTAATAGTCCTTTATTTTCAATGTCATGTCCTTTCTGACGTTTTTTTCTGTCATTAGAAAATATATCTTTACATAAAAATAAATGCAAATTAATTCTCGAACGAAACTGTTATTATTAAACCCACAATATATATTTGTATCAATAAATACATAGATCCTGATTTTCAAAATAAAATTTTAAATAAATTGTCTGGCCTAAATGGGACTAGATGACAAATATATATAGGGAAGTGAATTAGTTAATGTGTATCAGTCGTTGGGTGTTATTATACTGTAAGAGTAGTCGGATAATAAAAATTTGTCAAGATGGCGGTAAATCCGGATCTACAAAAGGAAAGAGCAGCCGCAACCTTTGACACAGAGAAGCTTACTGAAGTTCTTTATGGTGGGAAGAAAATGGTGCAACGTCGAAGATATTTACGTGAGTTTTATCATGAACTTATTATTTATGTAAATGGACGCTTTGTTTCTCTCGTGCAATATTAACAGCCAATCAGAATCACAATACCGCTAATAATAGCGTTATTTGATTTGATATAACTTATATTATTTCACACTTAAATATGCAATTTAATCAATGCATTTTCAGCATTTGCATCACGTGATGTTCAATTGGATCCATTTTGATCAATTTAGTCTCGTTTTTAGAATCCAAAAAGTCGATATCAAATCCATAATGCACGCTATATAGGCCACGTTTTGATTTTTATGAGTCCAAAACATCTATTGAATTCATATCATAGTCCATCTAAGAATTTTTAATCTTAAATATTTCTCAAGGGCAATAATAGTATGAGGAAAATATCATTTTGTTGACAATGTTGATAATAAAAAAATAAATATGTGATTCTGATTGCAATAAATTCGGAGTGGCTTCACATTCTGGATCGACTTTGAGTCATGACAAAAAACAACAGAAGTGTGTTTGAGAGCTAAATTCAATATAAATTGATAGAAATAAAAATTAATGATCTTCCACCGGAAAATGCGTCATATATACAGCGTGGTATGCTACCACATAAAAATTATGACGGCAATCAACCTGCAAATGTCACAAAAGTTAGATGGAAATGTAATCTTATTTTTTTTTCTTATTTTTAATGCACTTTCTATCTATTTTTCCTCAAGACAATAGTTTTCGTCTTGTCAGTTTTAGATAAAGCACTGATAGGCCAGCATAGCACAGTAAAACCGCTCTAAACCGGAAATGCGGATTCTCATTTGGCAATGAAATTTACTATACGTATAATTTGTATAGCATGACAATGTAGTAAAACCATATCTTTTTGGATATCAGTATACATTTATGTGCGAGTCCATAATGTGGTCTATGATGCTGAGGAGCGGACGACAACCCATTCAGCAGCTAGCCGTAATTAATTCATTATTTTATGTATTGTATAATTATTTGTTTCAGTACAAACAATGGTATTTAACATTTTTCATATCTGATTGTAGAAAATGTTATTTTCGACGACAAATACATGAACTCGTTCAAGCCATGGTGGAATCGATCCCGTATTGAACAATACGAAACCGCTATCAAGAAAGGGGCGTACATGAACAAACTGATCAAGGATCTGAACATAACTGAATTCTTGGAGCAAAGTTACCTCAAAGAGTAAGTGTGTGATTGCCTCAAAGAGCGGGTGTATAATTGTTATTTAGCTACGTCAAAGTGTGTATACTATAATGCAAGAAATATCTATTTCCATTCTATCATTTTTCACTTCAATGTTCATATATCGTGTAATAATGCACTTGTTCGACCTATTTCTTTGGTTTATACAGAATATATTTTAGTTCGATTGTGTAGGAAGCTATAAGCTTATAGACACACTTTCGAATCCGTTCCTGGAACCAACCAGTACTGAGCAATGTGTGTAACGTTTCTTGCTCAAGTAAACAACGACTTGCCCCTGACGGGGTTTGAACCCATACGGCTAGCGATCATTAGATTTCTAGTCCGACACATTGACCACTCGGTCATGCCGCCATTTATATACATATTATTAGGTTGTGACTAAAATCTCATTTTAAGGTCACCATCAAGCATATTTACCATTCAAACACCGTGTTGGCCCCCTGTGGCCACACCTTTTTCTTTGATAGGGAAATAAGGTGAAGCGTGTTAGAATGTTAATTATTACCTAATAATGTGTGTGTATAATTCGTATTTAGTATCAAAAATGTCAAAGTTTTATTGTTATATTTTTACATTGACGTGTGAATGTGTTATCTCAAATAGTTCGTGTTTTATTTTCATTATATTACTTTTATAAAAACGATTGTGTTTACTGTGTGTATAATTAATCACACTTTGGCATATTAGTTCTAATTTCTTTTCTTATATATTAACAAACATTGTGTCATATCAGGGCTGGTTCCAATCACGAGGGACAACCAATGGGTGTACATCAGTCTATGTTTATCCCTACAATCGAGAAGCTGGGAACCAACGAGCAAAAAGCAAAATATTTGGAACCAGCCAAACAATTCAAGATCATAGGAACCTATGCTCAGACTGAGATCGGTCATGGTGAGTGCCGACAGCTGTTCCGTTAGGGCCATCACTTTTTCTTGAAAACGGAAAGTGCGAAAACTGACAGTTCGATGGTGACAGTACGACAGTTTGATGGTGACAGTACGATGATCACAATACGACAGTACGGACTTGCGCCATCTTCCTGTCCTGCTCCGCAATCTTTCTGTCGTATTGTCACCATCGTAATGTCGCACTGTCAACATCGTTTTTTTCAGGTTTAGCGCGAAAACGCGGAACACCGTAAATAATTAATGAACAGAATATTTCAATCATTCATTGTTCATTGATCGAGTTATATCATGACAACTCTAGATATCTTTATCAGCCAGGTTTTATTCATAACGTTTAGCTAAGACTTTTTGCCCTTAAAGCATCTATAATTAGATAAAACACGTATCTGTTCTTTTGCAACCTACCTTTAGGAACTTGTTTTCGTAATGTTTTGTAGGGTTTATTTTATTATGTAATCAATTTGATTTTAGTTTGTTTGTTACAGTTTTTTTTTTGCTTTATTGGCTAACATTTTCTTATTTAAATTTGACATGTTCTTTTACACACGCGTTGTTTTTGCTCTTGTATACTGTAACAATGAGAGAAATTTCACTTTTATAAATGTATATAAATGTTTTATTTTCAGGAACATATATTCGTGGTTTGGAAACAACGGCTACATATGACCCGCTGACAGAAGAGTTCGTTATCAACAGCCCAACAGTGTCATCTATAAAATACTGGCCGGCTGCATGTATGTGACTTTGTATGCTTTTCATTCATTGGTGTTGATTGTTTTTTTTGTTTTTCCTTTTTTTGTCGGTGGTTGTGTTGGTGTTTTATTTTTGTTTATTTTCTTTGTTTCCTCCTCCTCTTTTCTTCCTCTCCTCCCTCTCCTCGTCTCCTCCTCCTCCTCTCCTCCTTCTCTTCCTCTCCTCCTCTTCCTCGTCCTCATCCTCCTGTCGTCCTCCTCCTCGTCCTCCTCTCCTCCTACTCTTCCTTTCCTTCTACTCTTCCTCTGCCTTTCCTCTTCCTCCTCGTCCTCCTCTCCTCCTACTCTTCCTCTCCTCCTACTCGTCCTCCTACTCTTCCTCTCCTCCTACTCTTCCTCTCTTCCTCTCCTCTCCTCCTCCTTCTCTTCTCCTCCTCCTCCTTCTTCTACTTCTTCATTATCTTCTTCTTCTTCCAATGGTCAAGAAAAATCTCCATATTCTTCTGACATACTTTTGTAACTTTGGGACAAGCTTTTCGTAAGAATATTCCTTCAATATTTCATTTTAAATTGACATTGTCATCTATGAATCCCGTTTAAATGGACATGTGTTATCACATTATTGTTCAGTCTGTAATTGACTGTATTTTTATTTTAAAAGATAGGAATATTATTTTCAAAGCTTACTCATAACAAAAGTGGATACATTACCTTTTTTGCAAGGTGATAACAGCTGCTAGAAATGAAAGTTGTAAGACTGAGTTTGAAATCGCGAAAATTGATGACTTATTTTAAAATTGTTGTCACATTTACAGTGGGAAGCACGTGTAATCACGTGGTATTGATGGCTCAGCTGTACAGCCAGGGTGTGTGCCACGGTATGCACGCTTTCATCTTGCAGATACGAAGTATGAAAGACCACAGAACGTTGCCAGGTATGTCTTTATTATCATATTTAAATCTAGAAACGAAACTATATTTTGGTGGTATGTAATTTGTAAATCATTTGTCAGTATCATGATGAAAATCGTACCAAAAATGAAAGAGTAATCATGCTTAATTAAGTTCGCTAAAGCGGAAGGATTTCATGCAAAATAGTCGCTAAACGTAACCCAAAAATATTTTGATTGTTATTTTTTATCTGCTTTCAAATATAATCCTTGTCTGTTAAATGAATCTTATCTGGATATGACAATCAGAATACAATGTGAATGAACAATTTCCTTTTTGTTAATCAACGTTCAACACCTAAATACATAACACTGATCCTGTGTCTAGTACATGTATTGTGAAATTTTATATAAAAAATAACTCAGTAATAGGAAACGAGTATTTTTACAGAAACTAAAAGCATTGCAACGTTCCTGTCGCGCTTTACAACGTTTTAGCCGTTTTTTCCGACGTTTTAGCCACGCTTTGCAAAGTTTTGCAATGTTTAAGTCGCGCTTTGCAACATACGCTTTAACAGTTACACTAAACACGTTTTTCTCTAAATATAAATTTGAAGAAACACTGAAGACATCTAGAGCGTTTGTAAAAAACTTCTTCTAATAAAATCTGTTTTTCTTTTAGGAATTTCTGCTGGAGATATAGGTAACAAAATTGGATTCAACGCAGTAGACAATGGCTTTTTGAAATTTGACAACGTCAGGGTTCCCAGAAATAGTTTGTTATCAAGATATGCTAAGGTATGGAGGTGAAGTTATAAACACCTTATTAATTTCACTTATGATCACCACACACTATTTCGTTGTTATTATTATTATCATTATTATTATTATTGTTGTTATAATCGTTGTTGTTATTATTGTTATTATTATTACTATGATTATAATTATAATTATAATTATTATTATTATTATTATTATTATTATTATTTTATTATTATTATTATTATCATTATAATTATTACTATTATAATTATTATTATTATTATGTTGTTGTTGTTGTTGTTATTATTGTTGTTATTATAATTATCATTATTATTATTATTATTATTATTATTATTATTATTATTATTATTCGACTGACATATTTTCTTTATATTAAGATATCCAAATAAGAAAATGCTGTTAGACAATAAACTTATGAACTTTTTCATTTTTTTTGAAATTATTGTTTTGTTGTTGTTGTTTTGGGGGGATTTTTATCTTTGCTTATTTTTATGTTTGTTTTCTTGTTTTTCAGGTAGAACGAGACGGTACATATACACCACCAGAAAATCCAAGAATCGCCTATGGCACAATGGTGTTTATACGTTCTCTCATCGTCGGCGTGTGTGCCAAGTCTCTGTCACAAGCCCTAGTTATAGCAACCAGATACAGTGCTGTGAGAAGACAAACAGAAATAAGACCGGGGTATGTTGGAAAAAACAAGGTTTTTTTTAAAGCTAAAAATAGATAAGCTTTGTGTCTTCAGAGATTTATAGTACAGAAATAAAGGCTAGGTCGTGTCGTACAACTTAAAAAGAATTGTTTTGGAAAATAATCAATGGGCATCGTAACGATAATCCTTCAAACATTTTGATTTCCTTTAACTTTTTTAAAGAAAAAAAATGTTATTAAGAAACCATTTTAACTATAAGAAATAATACAAGACTTGTAAATATTTAAGACCCATAGTTTTAAAATTTCGGATTAGCCGGTCTGAGTAGTTTTAGGCCCATCAATTAACCAAAGTCCCATTTTTGCTAAATAAACATGTCAGTGTTTTATTTTGTTGTTGTTGATATTGTTGTTGCCGCTGCTGCTACTGCTGCTTGTTTCTAACAAAATGACGTGATTAAACTAATTACATAAATAATTGTTTCCTTTCATCAAGTGGCGAGGAACCGCAAGTTATAGACTACCAAACACAGCAGGAGAAGTTGTTCCCGTTGTTATCGTCTGCCTACGCCTTCCTTTTTAGCGGGACTGTGATGCTGAAGGAATACTTCAGAATAAATGCCGACATTGACAAAGGAATCCTTGATGAAATGGCCGCGGTAACAATTCAACTTAAATTTTCATTTTAGTATATTTTCCTTTTATTTATATTTTTGTTGTTGTTGCGCTGAGAGTGGTTGTTTTGTGATTATTATAATGATTATCATTATTTCATGAAATATTCATTTTCATACCACTCGGTGAAACAAATCGTGTATTCATAGAAAACCCTATTTTTCTGGTCATTCGATCATTGATGCCAGCAATATTTAAGTGTTGAGAAATGAGTACCGTTCAAGCCAGTGGTAGCGGGGCGTGAGGAATGTTACTCTTTTTCATTATACTCAATCAAACCGTTTATTTTTCTTTTAAATATAAGTATATTTTTTTCAAGTTTGAGTTTTTTTGTGTTTTTGTTTTCTTAAAGAACTGGATATGTAAAATTAGAAATAAATGCCAGTAATGAAGTTATGAAAACATTGACCTGTAATGTTTATTGTTACAATAGCTGCATGGGTTGGCCGCGGGGTTAAAGGCGTTTTCTGCAGAGGTTGCTAGCAACGGTGTAGACAAACTACGTATGGCGTGTGGCGGCCATGGATACACTCACGCCAGCGGAATCCCTAAAATCTGGACATATATGACACCAGCATGTACTTATGAAGGCGAAAATACGGTCATGTATCTACAGTGTGCAAGGTTTGTACTTAATTCTCAGCTCCATTTTTCGAAGGAAAGGGTTGATGTATTGCCATGACTTCTTGTCAGCTTCGGCATTGGCTAACCTCATTGGTTTAGCTTTCGTTTATGGTCCCCTATACATAAAAATTCACTTTGACCTTAAGTAGGTTAAATACTTTAGTTTATTTTCTCAGAAACTACTAAAGCTGGTTTACTTGTTTTTAATCATCATGTGACATAATATTGGTTTACACCATGTGATGCAATATACAAAGGAAGATATTCCAAACGTTTATTTTACATTTGTTAAGGATTTTCCCCAGTTTACCTTTTTCATTTCTCAAAAAGCTATCAAAGTTTTCACTTTCAATTGAATACTAGTACTTGTTCACTGCAAAATTTGGAATGCATTTCTCAGAGAAGATAATCTACGTTCTCTCTCTTGTTTATTTTTTAATTTCCATTATATTCTCACAGATATTCACTTCGGATTTGAATAAATTGTTGAAGATCACAGGCAAAACATTTTACGATTTTTACCAAAGTATTTATCAGAATTTTTTCTACTTTGCTTCTATCCGAGGAAAAGAGTAGCTAGCTGCTACTTGGACATCTCAAATTAAAGATATTTAACATTCATAAACTTGTATTAACTTGTTTTCCTTGAAGCGCGAAAAAGACCACTTTTACAATTACTATACCCCTGAAGATTTTGCATTACATGTATACATGAACAACATTCCCACAAGACACTGAAATAGTTTGTTATAGTTTAATAAAGTTACCGGATAAAACAATGTGCACTATATATAACTAGACTGCTTCTAATGTCGTAAATGTACCGCAATACCGCGCACTGATAAAACTGAAGCGATTTGTTGGTGAAATACTAATCTGACTAAAGTTTAGATCCACTTAAGTAAATTGTGCATTCAAAATGCTTAAAATTATTTTTAAAATATATATCTTAGGTATTTAGTAAAACAATATGCCCAGGCGGCCAGTGGACAGACACTTGTAGGATTTATGTCTTACCTCAACAATCCAGTCAAACAGAGAAGTTCCCTCAATGATGCCCTCAACATGGCTGATTTAATTGAAGCATATGAACACACGGCAGTCAGGTGAGCTATTACTCTCCTAAGTTTGCTTTGTATAAATCATATACTTGTATCCATAGAAGAACAGAAAGGAACATAATTTTATTTTTGATTTGTACTTATACATCATCACCACGATAAAAAAGAGCCGCGTCACGACAAAACCAACATAAAATGTTTGCGACCAGCATGGATCCAGCAGGCTAGTCTGGATCCATGCTGGTCGCAATCACATTAAGTTGTTTTTGTCGTGGCACGGCTCAAATACACAAACTTTAAAAATGTTATAGAAAAGAAGGCAGCTAGGTAAGTGTATTAACTGCTGAGAGGACAAGGAATGATGACCTTGGTCATTTCTCTCGTCGTTGGTAAAAGTTCAAATCGCAAAGAGGTCTTATTATGTTACAGTATTAACGTACAGTATTGTAAAGTTGTTTATAATACTGCACGTTTGTAACGTCATTTTACAATGGATAACTTATATAGTTTTATATATATACGGCTGCCGTCGATTCATTTTTATGCCCCCCACAATGTGGGAGCATATAGCGTTGCACTTGTCAGTCCGTCAGTCCGTCCGTCCGTCAGTCCGTCCGTCCGTCAGTCCGTACGTCCCGAAATCTTGTGAACGCAACTCCTCTTAAACCAGATGGCAGATTTTGCTTAAACTTTCAGGGATCAACAACCTTAATGTGTAGATGGAAGTACAGGAAGGAATTTTCGCTGCCACGAAATTTAACAGAATTATGGCCCTTTGTTGATTTTTTCACTAGATACTATGTAGAAATTTTGTGAACGCAACTCCTCTTAAACCGGGTGGCAGATTTTGCTTAAACTTACAGGGATGAACAACCTTAATGTGTAGATGGTAGTAAAGGAAGGAAATTTTGCTGCGACCAAATTTAACAGAATTATGGCCCTTTGTTGATTTTTTCACAAGATACTATGTAAAATTTGGGAACGCAGCTCCTCTTAAACCGGATGGCAGATTTTGCTTAAACCTCCAGGGATGAACAATCTTAATGTGTAGATTGTAGTAAAGGAAGGGATTTTTGCTGCATTCAAATTTAACAGAATAATGCCCTTTGTTGATTTTTTTCACAAGATACTACGTAGAAATTTTGTGAACGCAACTCCTCTTAAACCGGATGGCAGATTTTGCTTAAACTTACGTGATGAACAACCTTTATGTGTAGATGGCAGTAAAGGAAGGAATTTTTGCTGCAATCAAATATAATAGAATAATGGCCCTTTGATGATTTTTGCACTATATACTATGTAGAAATTTTGTGAACGCAACTCTTCTTAAACCAGATGGCAGATTTTGCTTTAACTTACAGGGATGACAACCTTAATGTGTAGATGGCAGTAAAGGAAGGAATTTTTGCTGCGACCAAATTTAACAGAATTATGGCCCTATGTTGATTTTTTCATTATATACTATGTGAAATTTTGTGAACGCAACTCCTCTTAACCGGATGGAAGATTTTGCTTAAACTTCCAGGGATGAACAACCTTAATGTGTAGATGGTGATAAAGGAAGGGATTTTTTGCTGCGACTAAATTTAACAAAATTATGGCCCTTTGTTGATTTTTAGTTTTCAACTTGTGGAACATGTAGTCCAAAAAATATTTGACCTAGAGTCATAAGATTGACAGAACAGTGGCGTGTGGGGGGATCCGTGTCCTATGGACACTTTTATAGTTTCTCTTAAAATGATGTTTGCTGTATTATAAATTCGTTATAAAGATTGTTGACAGATATATGGCCGTATATAAAAATCTGTTTGCAATAAAACCATCGCCTTACGGCCCGGGTTATATTTACAAAAAGCCGTATACATAGGGCCATTTAACCTGTCAACGATCTTTGTAACTAATAATATACACGGTTGCTGTCAATTTATGAACAAAACTCACTTTTTTCTCAGAATCCTTGCTTCTTATCATATGCCTGTCACTTCTGCTGGTTAAATCCAACCAAGAAGCTCCTCTAGGCCAGCCCAACATTCTAAATGTCGATGGTTCTTCCTGACACACCGTAGTACTCGGTGCACCCCCGATTCAGATAAGCAAGGGAGATCAATGATACAAGTACTATCGATACTATTGCACAGTTGTTTCCCCTGCTAATTAATAATTGATCTTTAAAGGTTAATTAAAGTGGCAGCATCTAAGATTCAGTCACTGGTTAAAGGTGGACTTCCTATTGATGAGGCAAGAAATCGATGTGGAGTACCTATGGTGGTTGCTGCTAAGGTAAGGCCCTTCATCGCCGTTTTGTTATAATCGTACGATACAGATAAAGTCGGAAATACCGATCTTTCTTTATGTGCTTTACGAATGAATGCATAACTAAAGATGTCGTTTTTCAATAATTTTGTACAAAAAAGCTTAATAATTTGTTTAATAAGTTTGACGCTATTTTTAATAGTTCATTGTAAAAGTCCAGGAGAATCATTAGATTTATTTCTACGATCTGCTTTCATATTTGTTAGACTCATTTTTATTGTTTAAGGTTTTAACAAGTGTAAAAGGATCATATCATTTGAGTCGCTCCACGACAAGACCAACATAATGAGTTTGCGACCAGCATTGATCCAGACAAGCCTGCGCATCTGCGCAGTCTGATCAGGATCAATGTTTTTCGCTATCAGTTTCTCTACTTGTTATAGGATTTGTAAGCGAACAGCATGGATCCTGATCTGACTACGCAGATGCACAGGGGGTTTGGTCTG